CAGCACGAGGAAGGTCTCCCAACAACTGGCTAACTGTCCAGGATACAGAACAGAGAAAAACAATAGATGGGAGCCACATCAGCCAGCACCAGATGGCTGATGCTACAGCACACAGCTGAACACCAAGGTTACCTTAAGTCTGAGAAACAAAGAAAAGAAGAATCTCATCTGCTAGAGCAAGAGCTGGAGTTTAGGACTACAGCCTTAGCTAGATTTGATGGCAATATTAAGACTAGACAATGCCATTTTGAATGCAAAACCCGTTCTGAGGTGCAGTGCACTGCAACATCTCTGAATGCACACACCAGGGCAGGAAAACCCACATGGATACACACAACGCCTCACCTGTAAATGAGTGATGTTTCTATCAATGTCTATCGGGGAGGTGACGCAGTTCTGCGAAACGTATTTGTAGTTGCTAGGACAAGGCTCGCTGTCCACTGAATTGACGCAGGGAATCGGGATCCGCTCGTAACCCCGGGCAATGTCTCTGTCAGCGGGAGAAAGAGAATCGTCACAGAAGAAAAACTTCCCCCCCTCAACAAGGGGCCGTTCAAATGCCATCCTGGGGCAGAATTACTGTCTTTGATCACTAAGCATTCAAAGCCTGAAAGCAATGCAGGCTAGAACAGAGTTCATTTTTTTCCACCCTGCCTTACAGATTGTTCTTTGTGCTTGCACATATTCACATTTGGAGGATGAATTTACAAACCACAGTCTGAATCAGCATGTGCTTAGCTCTCGCTAAGCTTAAACTGACCTTCACACCAGTTTAAAAAGCTAAACATGTACTTACAGCCCTTTCTTAAACCAGGCCCCCAGCCTTCCCCACGCAAGGGCTCTATTTCATGACCCACAAGTAAAGCCAGCGCATTCTTACCTGCTCACGACCTTATCTATCTGGGCAGGCTTGTCAGTAGATGATTCTTTCAGAGTCTTGTTCATCTGTAGGGCCACCCAGACTTGAGAGTTAAGGCTGGAGCACTGGAGTGGAGTCTCACCCTCCTTGTTCTTTAAAGTGACATCCGAGCCACGGGAAAGAAAGAGACTGCAAAACAGCAAGAAAGGATAAGCATCCCCCAAGAGAAACCATGCAAGTGGAAAATGAGCTGAATCACATCCTCCAGCCAGCCCTTAAGGGACAAGGAAGAATCTGTAGTAGTGAATAATCACCTGAGTTTTCTTTATTAAGCATGGTTCAATGAATCCTTCTACATGAAGGCGCTGGCAGAAGCCACAGACTGGAGCTCTAGGCACTCCCGAGAGCTCTGGGCAAACCTCGCCTTGCTTCAGGCATGACAGGTACCTTGCTGGTACCAGCCGAACTTCAGACAGGCTTGCAACTCTCTCTGGCAGGGAAAGATACGGGGTGGGAAGAGCAGACTGGAAATGGAAGAGTCCCACAGGAAACTGGTATTTGGCTTGGGCCTTGTTTATACTCACCAGCTTTTGGTGAGTACACATGATGACTTTATTCATAGCAGGGATGAAGTAAAGGAAAAGCCCTGATACCATATTATGCCATGCTAGTTGGGGGGGGAGGGGGAAGTTTTAATCAAGGATGCCTGATGCCTTTCTGCAGGGAAGCCCAGGCTGAGCACAGCCCCTCAAGCCCTCTGCCCAGGACTCCAGGATCACTCCACGTTGTCTGATCTTTTTTACACCAGCTCTGGCAGCAGCTGGTATTCAGACCCACAGTCCCTAGCAGCAGGGCAATGGAGAAACAAGCCCTCCATCCCAGTTTTGGTTTGTGCTTAAACGCCAAAGGCATTTCAAAGGATCTCCCGAGCTTGTCAGCCAGCACCCAGGTAGAAAGGAGCGACCAGGGGAAGGGAGAGAAGCGGCAGGGCTGGAGCTGTACTTACATGACGCACTCGTAGCGGTTCTCTCTGGCTGCAATATGCAGGGGCGAGTCCCCGTGAATATTCACTGCATGTAAATCACACTTAGCAGCCAGCAGTATCTCCGCTATGTCAACACAGCCAGAAAAAGCAGCCCAGTGCAAACAAATATTTTCCTCCTGGAGAGAAAGAAAACAGAGGAGAGGCTATTCAGTGCATTAAAACCCCACCGCTTTGGGGCTTCCCCATCCTCAGCTCTACACCTGCAGCACGCAACACGTGGCTTGCAGTCCCCTTCCCGACATTGCTCCTTCTGGCTGGGACTGCCGGGGCGGGCAGGGGAATCTCCAAGCAGACAAGCAGGGAGTTCTCGCTCCAGCCGCCCCCGCGCACTGAAGATGGGAAGGCTGCTCACAGAGCGGTCCATTGCCTTCCCTACCCGCGCAGGCAAATCGTCTGTCTCTAAGCCACAAAACAATCTGGATCAATCCACGAGAGAGGTGACAGACATGAACAAACATGCTGGAAAAGGCTTGAAGCTGAGCTTCCCCAGCCCAGACAGACAGGAAAGCTAGCATGTTTCCCAGCGCTACGAAATTAAAGACAAAAAGAGCACAGCACAAGCTATAGGGTATACGAAGGTGCTAGAAAGCGAACCACGAGCCACAGGGAAAGCAATAAGTCTGGCTTTGGGCGTCTCTTAAATACTGTATGTACTCATCTCTCACTAGCAGCACTAGAAATAGCTGAACACTCATCTTTTTGATGGAGATATTTTAAGTGATGATACTCCGTTTTCTGTTACAATGCCATTTGCAGCACACTTCGAACCCTTCCCCACAACAAGCTCTAAAGACATCAATTACAACAGTGCAATGATAGTAATGATCACCTGACTATTCTCTCCTTTTTTTTTATTTATTATTAAAGCGAAAATAAAGCACATCTTTTAGTCACTGCAACTTAGCTTAGATCCTTCCTTAAACGGGGAGGTTATTGACAGATACCCAGGAGATCCTTTTCTATACGGCTTCTGCCTCTCATTATGGTAACATCCAGAAAAAACCCCTCATCACATCACACATCTATCTACAGAAAAAATTAATCCTGTCGATTGCACACCACATGCTGCCACTCAGACACATTACAGACACCCAGACTCGCTACTTTGCCTTGCATCGGCTACTGCCTAACAGCAACGTAATTACAATCAAAAGCATTTCTCCTGGAGTATGATGTTTCCCAGCACAAGTGACATTGCTGCTTAATGACTGCAATCAGGAGACACCGACCGCAGGTACAGTAATGGATACGCGATACATACGTCTGCTAAGAGGATATTTTCCCTTCAAGTGAATTGTTGGCTGAGATTTTCATCGTTTAATGTGTGATCCTGTAACTGGTAGCCAAAAGGCTTCTGTGGCAGATCAAACAAGTCAGTTTTGTGCAGTCAGCACTAGGGCTTTAAAGCAATGCAACAACTCAAAAAGCCCCCTCTTTCACCCTGGCTTTTGCTTTCAGGAACAGCATCAGATCGGGACCTCCCTGGGAACTATCTAAGCTATGATGGAAATAGAGGCTCTTACCAACAAGGGCTTTCAGACCGGGGACGGCGACTTCTTGGGAACAGCTGGAGCCCTTTTGAGCCCCATGAGACAAACAAGCCAATACCTACCCCAGCTAGCACCCAAAACAAAACAAGGCATTTCGGGAGACAAATGCAAATCAACTGCTTATATCCCTTGGATTAAAATAGCACTAGGAGCCCTGGATAAGAAAATACACTGCCATGAGGCATGCTAGAGTATGAACTAATGGCAGGGTAGGTACTTCACTGCAACAACTCTGTGCAGAAAGCAGTGAAGCCGGTTACCCTTCATTTATCAAACTATCTCACATCTACAGGCCAAAGCCTGGAGTGGCTCATCACACCCCAGTTCACACCCCAGCCTGCCTTGCAGGTACGTCTGGGGTTTCAGTTATCCTTAGAGACAGAAAGGAAGAAATGAGAAACGTACTATTAGAAAGAAGAGGAGCAGTGCTGATATCATGAGTCTCCTGAATAGAAACCTGGATGACTGGGGAAAAGGAGGAGACAGCATCTCCCTTGTGTCTTCTCTGTTTACTTGAAAATCCCCATGAAATCGGCTGGCACAGCTCGACACACAGCGCTGCCGGGCCCACGGAGCTCCCGAGGACTCAAGTACAGAGTGCATCCCACTCGAGCAGCATTTACGGAGGTGAAGAACAGGCCAAGCTCCGGCACGCTGAGCCACCAGCCTGGGCACGCTCTGTCCACACTGGTGACTACAACATGCCTGTCATGCCTAGGAAAAGCCAGGCTTGCTATACTTGCTGGCAGAGCGTCTACTCAATCCATTCAGAAAAAACAAGCACAAACTTATGCCCCTCAAAAGGCAGGCAGGGTACCCCTAACCCATGCCCAGTGCACACTGGCCTGTGATCAGCGTGGAGCTGGTAAGTCTGGACCCAAGAGGGATCTGCCTGGTGCACATCCAAGTGGCAGCACTGTGGACCCAGGTGGATTAGAAGCAGCGAGGCACAGAGCTGACTACAGCTTGCAGCATTCCGTGCAGCATCCTTACGGGCTCTGTCAGAAGAGCTGGAGGAAAAGGACTTCTTGCCAGTTTCTAAACTTCTTCCCAGAATATGGAGGAAAATTCTCCCATCAGACACCATTCACTCACTGACGCAAACCCCCGTGTCAAGGGACCACTGCACCTCCCTGCACTGAGCCCAAAAGCTGCCTCCTCGGGCTTCTTCAGTTTTCAAACAGAGATTGTGATTAATTCTGAAACGGGTTCCAGGAAGAACCTTACATTGTCACGGATGTTGATGTCTGACCCCTTCGCAAGCAGCAGCTTCACCAGCTCAATATGCTTGTACTCGGTGGCCCAGATCATCGGCGTCCAGCCTCCGTCATCCTGAGGAGGGAAAGGGAAGGGTGAGACACGCAGAATGGGCAAGACAGTCTCCTGCTGGCTTCCCAAGCCCCTTGGCAGTCACAGCAGGGTACACCTTGCCTGGGAGCCACAGACCCTTTCCCTCTCCTTGTCTGTCTCATCACTCTCCTTCGGTCTACGCTGCTGTAGGGAGAGGTCCCTCGGGGTCCTGCAGAGCCCAACATGTTTCAAACCCACGCACCTCAGCAGGCTGGCAATGGATCTGCAGGTCATCCAAACACAGCTGACTGCCCAAAAGGCACAAGGAACGTCCAGCTCGTGTAAAAGCTCTTACAAAAGCTCCCTGAGAAGCCTGGGGGAGCTGGCCTTCCCCCAGAACAAGGAACCCCGATGGAGTGCTGCCTCACCCCACGGCAATGCATAAGCTCTGCGATGGCGAGTGCAAGGCACAGCCCATCCCACAGCATGTCCAAGATACCACCATCCCCCCCGCTAGGAGGAGCATGGTGACACCCTCCAGCAACAGGCTCCACCAGCAAATTCACGGCCAAGGAGAAACTGCAAATCAAGGCACACAGAAGGGAAGTTCCATGAGGTCAGTGGAGGGAATCGCTTTCTCTGGCAGACTGGGATGCCCACAGCACTGTCACTCTATAATGTTTTTCAGGTGCCCCCCAGCAGCAGGACTGTTTTTGAGTAACCACTGCACAGACAGCACGCTGCTGAGACATGGGTCCCCAACCTGAGAAAAGCAGTTTCTGCCCCTTGCAGAAAGGCCTCACCTGACAGTTGACATCCATCTTCCCGTTGGAGAGGAGGTACTGAACAACGTCGTAGTGGCCCTTCTTGGCAGCCAAGTGCAGACATGTGGAGCCCTCCGCATCCTGGACACAACCACAAAACAAGCACTCAGGGGACATCCCTTCCCAGAGTTTCCCACGTCTGCCTGACACCAGGGAGGCTTAGGGACACCAGAGAAGTTCACAGATGGAGCAGAGGACTCCAAAAGCCCCCAGCCTTGTGCCAGGAGGGGAGAGAGCAGCAGCAACTAATGCCAGCACTGAGCAGAGGGAGCTTTTTCACAAAGCTCAGAGGTGCAACTCATGCAGAGTAGGAGGCTGAGACTGCAAAGGCTACGGGAAGATACATCTTTGTGAGGCCTAGGGAAGGTACCAGCCCCAAACCTTGACAGATTGATGCTCCCCTTCCCAAACAGACCCTGACCCACACTTCTCCACATGCTGGAGAGCCAAGGGAAGGCAGAAATCCCTTACAGAGGCAGAGCTTGCACTTTACGTCAGAAAAGTAGTCTTGTCTCAACCTGAAACGCTCTGTTTATATGTAGGGGTTTTTTGCTGTCTTTTATCAACACAAGGCCTTATCCCAGCACCTGGCAGCAGGGCAAAGGGATGTCCTGTACAGGGACTAGGAGCCTCCCAAGAGACCAAGTCCCCAGCGTGCCTGTAACCTGCCTACAACCGTTAAGGTTAAAAGGAAAAATGCCTTTGGGAGCTGAGAACACAGGGTCTGGTGGAGATGGACAGGCTGTGAGTCATGACAGAGACACTCCCACACTAACACCAAAAATCTCAGTGGCTGGAGCCTGATTTTTATCAGGCATTTATATCCCAAGAGCTTAGTACATAGCGAGGCCCAGAGACCAGGAAATAAAGAGGAGGAAATGAAAGACTGAAAACCAAAACGACTCCTTCCAGCTAAGCCCCTGGAAACAACAGGAGAGGCGAGAGCTTTCGGATGGAGCCGAGCGGAGAACACAGCACAGAGCTAGGGAGCAACCATCTGAGCAAGGATGGGACATCTCTGGTCAGGGATTAAGCTCTCTGGGCTTCTTGGGGTAAAGAAGGGTTTCTACACCCCCGTAAGTGCCTGCCACATCTGAAAAATGCCACAGCTTTCCCCTTAGATGAGCATGAGCCAAGTGCAGCTTCTCAACCCTACGGAAAGCAGGTATATTTAATATAAAGTTTCTGCAGGTTTTGAGTAGAGCGTTTACGTCCTGTTAAAAGGATCAACAGCTTTGCCCTGGGGTCTGAGAAGCCCCCAGCCACGCCACCACTGTCCTCAGCATCCCCTCCACCCGGCAGCCCTGCAGGGCCGGGCCAGGCAGGCTCAGCACACACCTGCAGCAGTTAATGTCCAGATTTCTCCTCAAAATGGCTGGAGCTGGTTTTAAACTGCAGTGTTGCTGCTTTCAAAAAGATGACTAATTTGGTGCAAGAAACTAATTAACATAATAAACTAGTCTAGACTTCAGACGTGATCTCAGGCTTCTAATTTGCTTTTGCAAGCTCGGGATTTTTTTCCTTCCCTTTACCTTTAGAAGCAAAAAACCCCCTCTCTCTTCCACAGGCATAAATCAGGCAAGAGATGTCTGGATTACTCCAAGACACTGGGGACACTGGCCAGCATGAATCCACATGTGCCTGTCCTGTCCTTTCCCCCTTCCCAGCCCAGAACCAGGCTCCCAAGGCTTGGGGTAGGCAGCACTTGATATCTTGTGCAATCCTCCTGGCCCCGCCAGCTCCTTCGTGACAAGAGCATCCCAGCCCTGCCATACTCCCCAGCTACAGCAGATGACAACGCCAACAGCAGCAGGTTGTAACAATAAGAGGTTCACATGGGGAGGGTTCCTGTGCTCCAAATAGCATCTGATTTACGGGACTAATGAATGATCTTGTATGTTTTCCAAGATTGCAAAGCAACCAGAACATGCTAAAGGCAAACAGACAGCTGCATTTTATTGTATTTGTTTAAATTAAGGGGTAGAGTTTAAAGACGGGGTCCAATTTTGCCACTGCAGTGTGACTGCAAGAAACCACACACCAGTCCTTTGGAAAGCAAAGCTTCCTCTGTCATTTCTGCTGGCTTGGCAAGCATCTAATTACCAGCTCATTTTAAAATGTCACCCCAAAATTCTCATTATTAAGAGTCTATACAGAAGGAAACTCTGAAATCAAACTCCAAATTCACTACAACGGATCTGTGACACTAATACTTAGTGGCCCTATATGAAATCAAACAAACCCTACATTTGATGCCACAAACTAATGTAGCAAGTGGCAGCACTTGCCCCAGACTGCTCACAGCTGGGACACTGCACCATTAAAATGATGCTGCCAACAATCACAGCCTGGCCAAGCCTTCATGCCCAAGACAACCAAGTCCATTTCCCCTCTGCCTGTGCCCTTCCACCCAAGACTTAAAACCTATCAAGAAAGAAGTGGTGGACGGAGGCTTCTTCAGGAGAAAAAGATAAGGAATAAACTGCTACCTTAGGATCTACAAGTGCTCCAGCCTTGATGAGATATTTCACAGTTTCCAGATGGTTGTTTTCTGCCGCTTCCATCAGTGGGGTCCTCTGGTCTTCAGAGCAGGTGTCTATATTAGCACCAGCCTGGTGAAGATGCCAAGGCAAATACAAGGACAGTTACAAGCATTACTAGTTAGCAGAGGAAGGATGTGGGAGTAGAGCTCTAGTTGCAAGGTTTTTTTCCTGAAATTTAGCCATGTTAAGCAGGGGAGGAAAAAAAAAAAAAAAGAAACAAAACCAGGAAAGAAGGCAGTCCAACTTCACCTGTTTTGGAAAGCAGGACACACTGCCTGCCCTCTCTCCTGCCTTCTACAGCCGGTAACCGGGGCATAAGGAAGCCAACAGCTTGTATTAAATAACTCTTGTTATTAATTGATTTTGTACTTTCTAGATATTGTTGGTGTAACGATTTGAAAAAATCAGCCTCTTCCTTTTTCCAGCAGCTTTGTTTTCCCTGGTCTATCATTTCCACACACACAACGAACAAAACAACCAGCTCTCCCAACGTCACAAGCAGTAGGAACAACTTGCTGATTGTAACAGAGGTAGAAGCTGTAAAAAAAAAATCCTGGAGATTGGCTAACTATTCCTGTTGAAGTCAATGGTCTTTCTACAGAGGTCCCTTGGATCAAAACCTTACTCTTTACCAAAACGCTACTGTGTCATGTACCTTGCCTGCTTTAACTCTCTGGCTTAGCTCAGTAACCCACCCAATACTTAAAACCAAAAGAAAATCTCTGGGACAGCACAATTCTTGGCAGGCCCCACATGCATATATTCGTGTGAAGCACAGACCTGTTTACAGCAGCACACGCTGACTCAGGTTCACCTGGCACAAGAAGTTTGCCCCGTTGCTTCCAGGTGCCTCCCACTGAATGCATTTGTTTTGATTACTTCTGAATAGCTACAGCTATTTAAACCAGACCAGCAAAGAGGCATTTCAAGTTTAACAAGCTGGGGAGATTCCCAGCCAAATACTGTGCTACTGCAGTAGCCAGACATCAGGGAAGAGACAAGATAAAGGATTTTGGAAACAAACCAACCCTACTGATACTCAATTCAAATTGTTTGCAGTATCTTGCAAATTTTGCTCCTTATACAAGTCATGAGAGCAGCAGGTAGACCCATAGCTGCATCTTCAAACAGCACTTTGAAAGCCCCTGACTCCAGATGCCGAAACGCAACATCCCAGCAGGCTCATTTTCAAAGATGTGACATCGCTGCTTTCTCAAAAGCCCTTTAAGGTTTCCCAGTCACACAGTATAAACAAAACATACTTCCAGTTGCTCCAGACAATGTATGCCAGGAACAAAAAAGAAAAACTGTAACTTTTTAAATCCTTCTTTCTGCTTAACATCATTTTGGAGTAGGTTCAAGGAGAGCAGCCCTGTGTCTTTGACCACCTTCCCTCAGTTAGAATCCAAATCTCAGACACTAAGCCAAACTTGCATCTTTCCTTCTCTCCTTTTCACATGCGAGACATTTACACTGCAGAGGAAAATCCTGCTGGAGTTACTCAGGTTTTGACAGAAGGGAAGACAGGGTCTTGCTAGCTTCCAGGCTCCAGAGCCTACACTCCTTGGTTACAAAGAGCGACGTGGCAGCAGCCTGCAGCTCACCTGCAGCCTGCCAGCAGGCAGTCTGTGCTGGCACACCTGGCATTGCGCTGCTCTGCCTTAGGCAAACAGGTTCCCCCATGGCCCACAGTGCCCTACATCGAACCTTCACATGCTCGCCGTCCAGACGGTGAAGTTTGCCTGGACAACAGCCTACACAGACAGCTTCAGTCCTCTAAGACCTCCTGTTACTCTCCACGACTCCTCCCTTAGCAAGCCCTGAGAACGCAGAGGATCTTTTACAGGAGGGACGTTTCAGTGCTGATTTCCAAGTGTGCTTTAGTCATGTGGGGCAGGAGACCAAAAGCCACAGAAAATTGCTTGTGCAGAAGAATGTAAGTGGAGACAGACCTGAATCAGCATATGGCAGATGTCCACGTGGCCAGACTCAGCGGCAGCATGGAGAGGGGTTCTCTTACTCTGATGCTCCATTTTAAAATTAGGGTCAATTCCATCCACTGAAAAACAGAGCAGAGAGGCTTTCAACCACAGTTCAGAGATTAGAGAAAAGCGTAACAGGAGAACCAGGTCTCAACTAGAGGCTTTTAAAGGATGGGTTCCCAGCCCATCCTCAGCCCTTCTCACGACTCACTACACATTCAAGCCAGCAAGCTCTCAGAGTAGTCCCATGGAAATTTGACATGCAACAGTCCTCAAACCAAGAGCTTCAGAAACACCATGGAATTTAATACTTTCAAGGAATTACAATTTCTACATAAGCTATCTCCCTCAGACTCACAATTCACCATCTCTCAGTGCAATAAAACCAAGAAAGACCCTAGAAGAATAAAAAGAAAAAAAATGCTGCTTTGTTTAAACCAACACAGAAGTTGGAAACAACAAAGAGTCAGTACTACCTGGCCTTCTTGTCCAACCACTATTAACTGCAATTACTATTAGCAATCCTTGGTGCAGCCCTGCAAACACAGGGCTACAAAGTGGATGGAGCTTCTCCAACTAACACAAGCTCGGGATCTGGCCAGAGATTCTCACAGCTGTGCAAAGACTGACAGATGATGATGACAGCCAGACAAAGATGTCTGGGCATGATAACATGTTGCGTACGATGAGGCCGTAGTTAAATATCAATGAATAACATTTTAGGGCTATTGAAGACATGAACAATGAAGCTAACACTTGCTAGAAGAAAGAAAAAGAATCTGATAAATGAAAAGAACACAAAGGGTCCAAAAATGTACTGCTAAGTACTGGAGTGGAAAGGAAATGATCTCAAGGAAACATTGTGTCCTTCAAAGGGGAAGATTCCTTGGGAATATTTGTTGGTAAAAACAAGCTCAGCAGCTCAAAGTCATCGGCTGACACACAACTACACACCCGTGTATTGAAGGGCTCTTCCTTTCCGGTCTCTTGCTGATGGGTCTCAGTTTAAGCTGACTCTCATTTTTTTACCTGTCTACTGGATGCAAATACCTAACTACCCCATTGCATGGAGAGAAGTTCTGTTGGACTGCAAAAACCACATGTAGATATCTGGGGACAGAAGCAGCTTCTCTGGATAAAACCGTGCCCAAATGCAGAAACAAGGTGGGAGCAGGTCCACATTTCACAGAAAGATGAAGCCATTTGCAATGCCACATCACTTGCAAAAGTGGCTTTCTCCTCCAACTCCACTCACAAGGGGCAGTGGGGAATATGACGTGCTGCCATGCTGGGAACTGGACTCTGGCAGCTGCCTGGCAGGAGCTGGGAGTACTGCCAGACACGCAATGTCCTGGGAAGGAGCCACCTACCCAACATAAGCAGGACTTTTTGCAGCTCTCCTTGCCTCGCAGAGAAGTACAACTGCTTTGGATGGAACCGTAACTTCTTGGGCCTGCACAGGTGGTGAAAGAGTCATAATTAATACTCACTGAAGAACACTTCTGGCATTTCACCCCACCCCACAAAATAAGGTCTGTTCCCATGGTACAGCTCCAGAGTGCCAGCAGAACACAAGAACAAGTCTCCAGAAGGAGGTCCTAAAACTTGCAGCTCCAACCACAGACAGCCTTGCTCTAATGAGGGCTGTATCTATTCAGTGTCGCTCATCAACAAATTCTGGGTCTCGCTACTGTAAACGGGAACTCCCCGTCATCACAGCCACGGTTGGAGGGCCAGTGAAAAACTAAATCCCCCAGACAAAGCAATATGACATTTAGAGCTGTAACTGTTCTCTGGGATCAGCAATCTGTTGGGGGTGACAAATGACTGAAGTAAACAAAAAAGGGTCCGAGAGGGGCCAAAATCCAGAGAAGCTCAATCTCAGGCTTCTCTAGGTTAAGCAACTTTGCTGGGAACTGGAGAGACTTGGCAGTCTTTTTCTTACTTTTCGGAGTCCAGGGCAATCAGGGCACTTTCCAGAGTCTCTTTAACTGGTCCCTGGGTCAGGCTAGTAGTAGGCTTTGGAAAAACTGAAGACCCAGCCATGTCAAACCCCTCCGCAGCCGAACTTTCTGGCTTGTCTTCCTCTGACAACCGTGTCCCAGTGCCACTGGAGAGAAAAAATAAGAGACAGCCAAAGCATAACCATTAGAAATACACAGCAGTGTGTATCTTATGCCAAAGGAAAGGAAAGGGATTTTAAATAAAGATAAGCGTAAGCGAAATCAAAACACAAACCAATATATTTTACAGCCTTTTTGGTAAGAGCTTGCCCCAAAAAGGAGTTGCACTGCCCTATGATTACATTTTGATACCCTGTGCTACAGTAAACCCAGGAACACGGGGCAAGTCATAAAAGCCACCAGAACAAGACCAGATTAGATGGGAAGTCAGAGCACTGTCCAACGCAGGGATGGATTGATTTGTGTTTTCCTCTGCGTTTTCATCCTCTCTTTATATTTGTGCCCATCGGTGCAGGCCGGGAGACACAGCTAAGCACTGCACAAATCTCCCTGTCACTTAGCAGACATCGACTTGTTCCACTATTATTCCATTCCTAACAATAAGAGGAAGGAATGGTTTTAACTCCTGAACCCCTCCTACCTTCATAGCCTCTTCCCCAGCTCACCCTGCTGCTGCTGCGCTCTTCTCCAACAGCAAGCAACACAAAACACACTTGCAGACTCCTGCAGCTGAATTTGGCTTCCCAGAGCAGCACCAGAAAGCACTTTGCTCCATCAGGAGGACCACGAGTGTTCAAATGCAAAGCACGGTCTGGCATGAGGTTTGAGATCACCATGTGCTTCCAAGCTCACCTCCCCGTCGTGGTGTCGGCCCTTCCTTCCACAGCCGCTGGTTTCTGCTGCTCGTAGGTCAGCGACACCGTCGAGGTTGTGTCTGCTTTTGCTATTGTCACCTCCTTTGCCTTGGAGGCCTCTTCCCCGCAGTGTGGGCAGTAGCTCATGTCGTTGACCTGGGAGGCACAGTTCTTGTGGAAACGGTGGGAGATGCTGCTCTCCGGCTGACACTCCATGAAAGTGCCCTAAAAAAACCACAGAGAAGAACTTCACACCTTGGTCACTACGTGCCTCACCCCTTCTACATACTCCATCCGCAGATCTCTTAAATAGTTCATCACCACTCTTGTCCCCTGGCGCTTCCAATACAGTAAGCAAGCACTGCCACTTCTTTAGAAGAGAACAAAACCAAGGTAACGGGGAAAAAACTCACTTGGTTAGGGACTGCAAAGCAAGTTTTTTAATTGTGCTTGGGAAACAGAACCAAGAAGTCCCAATTTCCAGCTCTTTCCTCTAACGCTTGAAGTTCTCACTTATCTTTCCAGAAGTGCCAGCGTACTGTAAGGACGCCCCCAAAACTGGAAAAGAAAACTTCAGACCTGCGTGCTGAGCCAGCACGTTTACCTAACAAAGCTGCACACAAACCATTCAAGGACCTACATGAATATAATTAAATTGGCTGTTAACCCCCCTGTAACCCATAAAGTATGCGACTTCTCTGCTCGGACCAGCCCCTTATGCTGTTTAACCCCAATAACGTGGCTGACTGCTTATTCAACAAGCTCGGGCAACTTTTCTTAAAATTATTTTTCCTTTCCAGCAAAGTCCTTCAAACTGAGCTGAAGGTACCCCAGAATTCCTTGCCCTGTGATATTTGTGCCACCTGAAGCCCTACTGTGCTCGGTGTTATTAGTGACGGACAGCACAGACCAACACTCCCACATTCACCTGTGTGAACTGTGACATGCCACAGAGATGTACAAGCATGTAAGGAAAGGCTAGTTAAAACCCACTCTTCTCCTGAATCCATGGTCCTCCCAAGCAATCTAATTAACTCTATTTCAGCTTTTCAAAATGCCTCTAAGGGTTTTGAGGGTTTTATCCTTTAAATGATCTTTGACTCAGCATGAAAACCCAGGATGGCTCCATTTATTACAATAATGCTTGAGACTAGTGTAGCATCTTTCATTGAGTCATCTTGAAGAACACTAGCATCTGACAATTAAGCCTCCTCATCACCCCGTGAGGCCCTCAATTGGTGTCTTCCAGCTTTACCAACAGGCAAACAAGGATGCTGATGACTTAAAGGACTGGACCAATGCTATTAAAAGCCTCAGTGGCGGAGGTGGAAGAAGCAGCAGGAGATCTCGAAACACTGCCTTGTTGCAGTGCCATCACTCAGGTTCCCCAACTAAACCATCATGAGCAGGTGGGGGGACAGAGATGTGTGTACACTGATTCATTTACAAACCAAGGTAATACAATTTTTGATGCAATTGATCTGTACAGAGAAAGAAAAAAAAAAAAAACCACAACACCCTTGTTGCAAAGAAATTCCGAAGGCAAGACTTCCACCGTGCGAAACCCCAGTGAAAACCCTTCGGTAACACCCCTTGGGGTCTCCAGGAAGATAAAGGTGACGATTGTAGCTACCCTCATACACATTCCTGTTGAAAACACCACCTGATGTGCTGTGGAACGAGGTGGAGCTGATGCCAGGAAGTCAGTAAACCCCTTTAGGTACCATCTCCACCTTCAGCTCTTCCAGCTACTGCAACAGTACCCCCTTCCCTAGATTGAGAGCACGGACTTACTGCAGTGCAAAAGTATCCACAGCCAGGGCAACACTGGTGTTTCACCATCCTCCCTCTATGGTCCTCACACAGCACCAAAAGCTGGACTTTGTTAGACGGGCGCATCAGTTCATACTTAACCACACTGTTTGTGCATCGGCCCAGCTGGAACAGGAGAAATTAAAGGAAATGAAATTACTGGAGACCAAAACACTCTCTGTGCTTGTGCGGAGGAAGATTTTTGCACACTGCCTTGATGAGCCCTGGCTTTTTCACAGTAATTCAGATGTGTGCCAGATAGCATTAGCAGTGCAGCAGGAAGCTGTGAAAGCTGCTCTCACAGGAAGAAATGCATCATTTACTAACTAACATGCATGTGGACCCCGAGTTGTTTGTTCCTTGCAAGAAAAAAAGTCGTATCTGGAAATAGGCAACAGCCAAGCAGCGGCAGAAGGGGCAGTCCCATGGGCCTGACTCACACAACATACGCTCTCCTTTTGTGAGCGGGTGTCGGTGACCAAGAGAACAAGACCATACGCACTAAATCTTGTTACTGTTCAAAAGTCTAAGTCACAGGAAGACAAAGGGAAAAATAATTGCTCTTCATTGCCAGCGAAGTTATAGTCTGTACTGGTTCCAGCACTGGCCCCTGCCCAGACCACAGGGACGAACAGCCAGGCTTTCAGGAGAGCTCGGCTAAAGTCACATTTTGAACACGTTTTCCAAAGGATTTCACCAATGTGCAGCTCTGGGCTTAAAAAGCTGTCTTCTCGTGTACCACCCTGCTCTGTTAACAACAGCAGGCTCTGTAACTGGGGTTCACTTTTCCCAATCGGTGTTACTCGCCCTGCTGCGTCAGAAGGATCAGTGCTTCCTTCTGCCCCCACTCGCACATCTACGACATTTCCACATTCCAGTTGCCACCTGCCAGCGTGACGCAATGCTGTTGGGGTTCTGCAAGTTCCTCTTGATAATGACCCTGCTTTCCCCAGAAGCTCGGCAAAGGACATTTATACACTAGAAATATAAACATGAAAGGCTGCTATAAGGAAAGGTCCCTACCGAAATCTGGGCATGGTTTACTGTGTGCTGCCACCATGAGCAGAGGAGTCAATCAGGAGCACGGTGCCTGCTCATCACCAACACTGCCCCTCTAGTCTAGCTGAGGTTTGATTTGCTGCTTTTTCTCAACAAAACTAGACTCTCTCTCTATTTGTTTTAAACTCCACTTCTCCTGCAGAATCAACACCCCTACAGAAAAAGAGAATGGATTTTAACCTCATCATTGACCCCTAACATCTCCGACTCAACTTACCCACATTCCAGCTGCAAAGTCTGCCTGTGGTTGTGACACCTTGGCTAGACTGATCACCATTAACACACAGACCCCAGGGGCTGCAGGGGTGGAGGAGAGGACCATTGCATTGATTCTTACTTATAAGCTGAGGAAATTTGATTAACACGTGAAAAGCTGCACTGTCCGTGTGAGGAAGTCCCTGCATTGTTATGTCACACTATATTATTTGATAGAAACTCTAAAAAAGTATGAAATTATTAATTGCTATTTTCCAACCATTAGAGAGTGCAGCAGGGTGCTGATAACTATTTATAACATCCTCCAAGGACATGACAGTCTGGAGAACCCACTATTCACACATATAATATTCTTATAACACTTATGAGTCACTTATCCCATTATGAAAAAGAATCTAACATAAAGTATGGCCTTTGCTATTCCTCTCTGTGATTCATCCAGGGACAGAACTGTCAAACCACCACATACACGAGAAGGAACTCTTTCATATACCTTTTGTTTATTTAGAAACCCTGGGGTCCCCCTCTCTCCTGTAAGTCTCCAGGTCGTTCTCTCTTTAACAAATCAATTCTGCCACGATTTGGCAATTCATTTTTCTATAGGTACCAGCACGTACTAACAAAAGCAGAGCTGGGCTGCAAACTTGATTATCCTTTTCTCCCTCCATCCACCCTTCCCTGAGATCCTGGAGGAGAACAAGGGATATTCTCCCTCCTTGTCCTACTACCAGCAAGTAGGAGAGCACTGCAGCGTGACTGTGGCTCAGCTGAAGCTTAAAAGAAACCCAAGCGCCTCCCAGTAAAGGAGGATCTAGTGAGTGTGTTCCTGTCCTGCAGTCTCACGTTCCAGACTCTGGGAGGGAGTCACTTCTGCCACTTACTTCCACACCTCTGGAACCAGCAGAGCCCAACTAGCCCAGCTGTGACCGACTGAAAGGCACCGAGCGCAATCGTTTTCAGTCAGCCAGACCTGGAGGCTGCGCAGGGTTGCCAGGACATAAGAAGCTTTGGAACAGAAGCCTCTTGGGGGAGAAGGAAAGAGGATGGCTGGGGCAGACCGAGCTGGCGGAGGGCATGCCAAGTTCCCAAAACTCAAGAGCTAGCTACAGAAAGGTTTGCATCAGCTCCTTCGTAGTCAAGGGAAACCAGCTCCAAGCTCCCTCTGATTGGATTGTCTCGCTGTCTCGCTTTGATGCATGCTGATGTGTTTTAGCCCACTTGGCCTGAAGTGGGTCTGTTACATCAACTCGATCCAACCACACAGGTCAGGACAAGCAGGAGAGATCCACCCAGTGCCTCTCCAACTGCAGACTGCACCACCTCCTCCCTTCCGAGCGGCTTCAGCCCGACTGCGCGATACACGCGGAGTGCTGGAGCCCTCAGCTTAGCGAGCAAGGTGTTTGCCCTGCCATTCCCACACACCAGGGGATTCCCAGTCTAGCAGGCTGCAGAGCCCCTGCGTGACCCAACACAGGCTCCCAGCACAGCTTTTTGTTCTTTATGGTTTTTGCCCTCAGCAGAAAAGTCTGCGAGCAGCTGAAAGACAGGCTCCTACCTCGTTATCCACACTTTCTGTGGCCATGCACTGGTTGTTGGCTAGCGTGGTGATCTCTCTGCTTTTGGGAGTTTCCATTCGACAGCTACAGAGGGGGACTTCTTGGAGACCATCTACTTCCATTGCTTCAGGACCATTGGAAAGACCTGGAGTACAGAAGACCAGTAAATCAACTCTGAAATTCTCTTCCAGGAGAAAGGATGCCATCCATCAACACCACCCATGTCCTGTGGCATCTTCCCACTCCATGTCCTGAAACGCTTTCAAGGCATTATCTCAACCCTGGAAAAAAGACCCCTTTTTTACAGCAGCTGGAGTTTGCAGAAGCATCCTGTACATTTCTAAGTCCAGCCACACTACAGAAGACTGTGCTGAGATCAAGAATAATAAGTTAAGAACAGTCTACTGTGAGAAAACCTCAACAAGGAAAAGCAACGATGAGGTACAGACTTTTATCAGCTTGTCTCCCGTCCCCACCTACCCCAAAACACTGTGCTCTGGCACCAGAAAATTTGTAGGAAACCACCTGGAGTTGGAAATTTGAATACTTAGTGGAGTGATAAATAGAGAAGATCAGGAAAGCACAAACTTCTATTTGCAGAGGCTTATTATACAGATGGGAAAACAAAATTCCTGGGACTATTTGGTCTCAGCCAACCAAGAATTATTTATTTTGGAAAGAGAACAAACCAGGGAAAAGAAAGCAGCAAGATGCTCAGACGTTCTTGCCTTCTCCTCATCTCTTTCTCTGAGATTTTGAACATTTTCAAACCTATTTAAAGGTGGATAATGGCTTTTGAGGGAGGTCACTGCCAGGCACGGGGACACAGTGTGAATGTTCTTGCGGCTCCTCTGGATTCAACTCAATCACTAGGTTACCCATGATTGCAAATGCTGGCCTAACGACAAAGGGGCTGCTTTTAGTCCTACTCTCTATTTCTACTCCTACACAGTTGTAACATCTCTTTGCAACATTTTCATTACAGAAGCAAACCCTCCAACATTTGCCTTCAGATTGGTTGACTCTGGAGTGTCCCAAGTTTTCCCTACCCAAATGCGCCATGGGACTGAGTCCCAGTGAAAAGGAAGCATGCTGTTAGTTTTTAAGCTTTTGAAAGGAGAGTTATTTTGCTGCAAAGTTTCAAAGATTGACCTCATTCGTGGGGGAGATTCCTCTTTATCTGCCCTGGCAATGGCAGTACTCTCCAGCCCCTCCAGCATCCTGCCCCTGGCTACAACCCTATCAGCTGAGCACGAGTCCCTTTCATCTTGTAAGGGGTTTTCTTCAGCCAACAAGTTGCAAGAGCAAGCCTAGGGAAGGGGTGGGATATTTCAAAACATAGAAGCAGAGGGCAAGTCCTTGCAGTTTTCATGTAAAATCCTGTCAAGATCTTAAAGGTTTAAGAGCTTTTGCTAGGACCACAAATCACAAAGCTCATTCCTCGCCTTCCAAGCTGTCACTTCCATAATCTTTTTGACATCCAGAGGCTCTGGTGAAAGCATCCCTCATTCATCCTGACTCTCCCTGGGTGGCAAACGCTCCCACCCGCTTTCTGATGCACCTCTATCAAACAACCCAGACAAACTTTGAAAGCCAAAGAGCAACGAGGGACAGAGGGATAGATCCACGTCAGCCAGGAGGCGCTGGATCCGAGGCAAGTTAAGCGCTGGGAACAGTGGCTGGGCGTCAGCACCCAGGAACCAACACTTCCCCCTCCTCTTCCTGGGGCTGAACTAGAAGATCCTGGGTGGCAGTGGCAGCCATTGGGGGAGACGCTAAATCAGCACCCTTCCAGGAACGGAGGGGAGCTGCTGAGCGGGACCGGGGCTGGGCCAGCACCTCGGACCCCTGGCTGGGCGTCTTCCCGGGCCCCAGCCCCGGCCCC